TTTAGTGAAATAACGTTGATGACTTTAAGAGGGATAATTTGAAAAAAAATGTAATAAATACTTTTTAAAATTTGCAATTTTACTTATAAATAAAAATAGAGACACAAATGATTATTTCTCTTATATTTGAAAATAGAGGATAGGAAAGCAGCTTGCGGCCCAAAATGATGACTTAAACATTTTAACAAAACTAAATGTTGTGAGGGAACAGATGATATAAAAATAGTATACATATTTAATTATAAAATTAGAACAATGATACAAAAAATACTCCTGAAATATGTAACTGGCATTAAGTATAACAAAATATGATAATTTTTTTCTGGTGCCCTTGTTTTAAAATTTGTCAATGAAGTGCAAGAACTAAACTTAGTTACTACTTTATTTTGGGTAATGACTACTTTTATTGGGGAAATGACTAGAATGAAATAACAAATTACAAGTTATTCAAGGAAATTTTTTTTTGTTAGTGAAGTCCAGCAACTAAATATGAATAGTTTTCTTAAAAAATTAATAGAACAGAATAGCAAATTACAAGTTCTAATTTTTCATCTTTTATTTTCTAGAAGGGTAAAAAAGTCCTTTCACATTAAAGCTAATTGACATAAAAGTTTATAGGAACTAAAAAATAATTATCACATTTGGCAATTCCTAATTATCATTTGCATATTTGATAACTCCCTATTTTGTGTTATATTTGACATGTTTTTGATTATATTTTGGGAGTTATCAATGGAAAAGAGAAGCATTTTCTTGCTTTTGTAAAGAGAAATTAACTAAGTGCCTCATATGAATTTATTATAATATTTTTAAAAAAATTGTTTAAAATGATGGAAATTATAGTAAGCAAATATTCCACTCATATTTATTAATTGTTGATAGGTGGATCATAAAAAAATTAAAGAAAGAAAGAAAAAGGAGATAAGAAAAAAGGTAACTTTGATCCCAAGACATAAAAGCAAAAGTTCTTATGCACTGTCAAATTTTTTTTTTTTTAGAATTGCTCACTAGTACCATAACACCACAAAAGGAGTGCCATGTCACAAGATGAAATTGCAAAAAAAGCACAATTTCATTTTCTATGCAAAATTATGCTACATAACTTGTTTTTCTGAACTGGAGAACGAATCTTTTAACTACTGGAACTAGAGAAAACCTTAGGAGAGCAAGAGGGAGAGTCTTGAAGCTTGGGACCAAGAAGTGGAGCAATTCATTCTAACTCATTTTATAAGTGTTTTCTTTTCTTTTTTTTTTCTTTATATTATGGATTCGAACCTTTTCTTTGTTGTTACAGTTTTCATAGTAGCTATGTGTAGCTAAATCTTCTTGTTTTAGAGGACTATGAACCTAAATAGGTAAATAACCTTTGATTTACTATTTAGTTATTGAGAAATGAAGTTTTGATTATTTGTTCTTGGGCTACCTTGTTTTTGTTTAGAGTTTGCCTGCCATTAAGTGAGATTTAAGCATTTGCATTAAACCTTGGAAGAGAAATACAAATTAGACCTTGAGAACTAGTAGCCTAGGATTAGTTTAGCTCATTTGTCATTAGAACAGGAATGTACCTAATGGATTTAGGCAATCCTTATGGGTTAGGGTCTCTAATGCAATTAATTAATTAAAGTAATATTTTTCTTTAATTGAATTAATTAGGGTCCTTAATAATTGAAAGATGCTTTGAATTAATTTAGATTCTCGAATTATCAAAACTGAGTTTCAAGACAATTAATGTGGCAATAAGAGGGTTAGGAAGCAACTAGGAGATTAGGACTCTAAAACGCTCTTCTTTTGGTTGACTTTAGTTTGTTGTGGATTGATAGTTATTTTAATTGATTATTTTTAATATTTTTATTTTAATTATTCTAAAATCAATCTCAAGTTTTGTTTGCTAACGTGAGTGAATTTAGAAATTTAATGCCTAGTCACTATTTTAATTAATTTCTTGAGGAATCAACCTTAATTTATCACTAGCTTCAATTGCGATCCGTATAATTGCAATGTCTCTTAATTTTTGTGGAGTATTTTTTTTGTCATTTTGCATTGAAATTATTAAGAGATACTTCCTCCATCCCTCAATAATGACATTTTACAAACTTGTTTTTTCCTAATAAAAATATAAATATCCAAAAATACTCTTCATTTAATATAACTTTAGTTAGTATTACATACTTAATCATTACATTATAATCATTTCAATTATGAGATGAGATGTAAAATATTTTTAATAATTATTATTTATAAATAAAATGATAAATACTGTTAAAAATTAAATATATTTAATCATTTAAATATTATTATTTGCAAATGTTCATCCAAAATATATAAATTATTTTTAAATATTAATAGCTCAAATTAGTTTTTCATAAATTTATAAATGACTTGTAAATTGTGTGTGAAGATTTGTAAATTACAATATTTATTAATAAATTAAAAAATGATCATATAAGAAAATTAATATTGACAAAGCTCCTTAAATTTTTTTAGGTCATTCTCCTAATTTTTGGTTAGCTAATAATGGAGATAATTTTGATAATTTTTAAATATTAATGAAATCTAGTGGCTATAGTTGAGGTACTTATTGGTGATTGTGCTTAAGCCACTCAATAGAATAAATAATAAATTCTTTTTCTAATGAATAAATATCCTTATTTAAATATCTTTAATGGATAATCTTAATATCTTAGATAAATCCTAATTATTCTAATTAATCATTATCTCATATACTATCATTGCTCTACTAAAAGGATTTAAGTTCTCCAAGGTTGAGATTTGTGATTTTTTAAATTTATTTTTTATATTCTTAATCTCATTTTTATTATTTTTATAAACTATATATAAAATATTTTCTCTCTTTCTTAAAAAAAATAACTTTAATGAAATTCATGAATTTTTCATTTTGAAATATCCATTCCCCTACCCAACACTCTCAACCTGTCAACCAAACAGGATCTTAACTCCCTCAACCCAAAATTTAAAAAAGAAAGAAGAACAAAACGCATACTTTTACTTTAATTAAATTGCATGTTACTCTTCTCTAACTGTTCTTTTGTAGAAATTAATTTCTGACGAACATGTATTTCTTCCCGGAATTAAATAATTTTATTGATTATTGGCATATTAAATTGGCAATATATAACTCAACGTTCGAGCTTTAGATCATTTTAATTAATTTCATCATCAAGGATTTTAAATGATACCGTGTCCCACCTTTCGAGTATATATAGATATCTCACCCTTTTCTAAGGATGTGAGTCCCTTGACTCGTGGCAATTCTGAGTCTCAATAAATGTACATATACATGTCTATTCATTCATGATCACCAACTAACCAAAAAAAAAAAAAAAAATCACCAACCAACGAGAGGCAAAAAAATAACTCCATCACTTTAAGCTTTAAAATTGAAAAAAATAAATATATAAATACCAAACGTGACAGAAATATTAAGTTTCAGAGATAACAAAAGGATTTTTGAGCTCCCTTAATCATAATTTACTTAGATGTAAAGATGTAAAGAGATTAAAATAAAATTTGTATTTGAATTTATGATGAAAATAAAAGTATCCAATTACATTGATTGCAACTCCAAGTTGAAAGTGATTCTAAGACTAATGAAAAATGCAAAGTAAATTTAAAAAGTAAATTGGCTTTGTCTGAAAATGATAATATTGTTTCCTGATGATGACGTTCTTTAGTCCTTTTTTATAAGCATTAACTTGACACCCTTATGATTCGTGGCACGTAAGATGATCACGTTATATTCACTCAACAGTCCTTAATGTCCAATTGCCTTGAATCTTGAGGGTTACGTCTAGTTCATGAATGGCATGCCCTTCCCTTGGGCTTCTTGGGCTTGTCGTGTCATTTATCTTAGCTCTCTTCCTTGCTTTAGGGCTAGCGTTTCAACTTTAGGCCCAAACAATGCCCCTTGCGTGTTTGAGACTGATAGTCTTATGCTACGTGGCACGTTTGAATGGGAATCGATGAGTCGTTTCGTTGCCTCCAGCCTCTCAAGACTATAAGCCTCCCTGTCTACATCAATCATTCCCCTTGCTACTTTGTACTCCCGACTCTTCCTTGCTCTTCAAGCCTCTTTGCTCTATCTTCTCGCATTCTCTCTTGTTCATCTCTTTCAACAATGGCCTCTCAAATTGATGTTGCCCAGAATGCTCGAGCCATTATACCCGCCAATCTATCTAAGGATTTGGTCACCATTCGCACCCCCCTTGGACTGCCTCAAAATGCCGCTCTAGTAAGTATTGATCTTTCTACATTTTTCTCTTTTTCTCTGGTTCTTTTTTTGTTTTTTTTTTGAAATGGGTCTTTTTTCTCTGGCAGGAATCTTCGACTTCCCTTAGGCTTCTCGCCTCTCTTCGGTTCCAGTAAGTGTTTTCCTCTTATGATCCATTTCTTTATTCCTTTCACTTGCTTCAAATTTTTAATTGGTCTTGTGTTTGGCTGAGCCAGAGCCGTGTCTCACTGTCTTAAAGCCCTCACTCTAGTTACAAGCTGGCACTATTCTCTTGAAGCTGCTGATTCTGATTGTTTTACGGAGTTAATTTCCAAGAAGAAACTTCATCTGCCTACATATCCATTGATGGGTCTATGAGTTTCCAGGCAACCACTCAATGATCCATAATGCAGAGCTGCTAGGGTGGGCTTTTTGTATACCAGGTTTTCATCCCTGTTGGCTAGTTCAAGAAGATAAGACTGCTTAAAAAACCTCCATTGTTTTCTCAAAAACAATGGATTATCTTTTCCTGCGAGAATCCACAACATGCTTCATACTCCATCGACTTCTTTGCAAGTTCGAATGAATGGAGGTTTAGAAGCATTTCTTACTCAGCATGCTTACCGGGTTCATTTCTCTGTCACTTGCAATTTTGTGAATCAGTAATTGGGTGAATGATTTCCTTCTTATTGCGGTTATGGTTGTGTCCTGTCAGTGTTTTGTAGTTGCTGTCTTTTTTTTTTTTCCTTGTATATTTTTAGTGTTGTATGGGATGTCAGGGATTTTATCATATTTTTATGTCGTTTTCCATTACATAAAGATGACGCTATTAACTTGCACACACACACAATATGAAATACAATACATGAAAACGAACAAATTAATTAATAAATACGACAAACTTATCATAAACTGTAATGCGACTACGTAAAACATAGATGCTCGATATACACTTGCGTACAAAGATAACGAATGATATGCAAAATGTTACATCAAGTTCTCTCCTCCTTTCACAGTCGACCTCGTGCTAGTTTATTGGATAACCTTACCGGCTCCGGCGGCGACACCGCATGCATGAACTCAGGGTCTCTTCCCATAGTTTCTAATATTTCATAGGACATGCAAAGCTCAATGTCAAAGCTACCTTCTTCTGCTCCGGCATCGGCCACCAGGTCCCAATCATGCATAAAAGCAGGGCCACGGCGAATTGCTGCCGGTCTTCCCCAGCCGAAATCGATGGCGTAAAAGTTGATTCTTGTGCTGCTGCCACAATTCATAACCTTCCCAATTATGCCACTCTGTAAACGCACCATGGGATTTGGGATCAAAGCTTCAAAGTCCATCTTGATCTTCTGCTCTGTGTATTCCGAGATCTTCTTGTTCATCTCCAAAGCAAATTTTCCAAGTCCTCTATCACCCACCAGGTCTCTTACTTTCATCATCACGCTAGCAAATTGCACTGTGTTTCCGAAATAGCTTTCGGGAATTGGTGGGTTTGAAATTCTGGACCTAGCAGATACAAGGAATCTGAAAGTGACTTCTTCTTCGGGATCAAGATTCTGATTTTTTATCACAGATCTCCAAATATGGCTGACGACAGCTTGCAGAGAGGAGATTTCATTGCTGACCACACCATCGTCTACCACCTCTGATAGAGCTTTTGCTTTGAGTTCAGCAATTTTTTGTCTTTTAAAGTGGAAGATCCTCTTCGAAATTGGAGGTGAAAGATGAGAATAAGCAGATTCATCAAGATAATATTCCTCCATTATTTGTTTAAATCGTATTCGTATGGGGCGTTCAATATCAGCACGTGGAAACCAACGTTCAAATGATGCAAGCTTCAAATCCGACCCTAAGTGGTTCAAACGATTTCGGCTAATCTCAGCCCAAGTGTTCAAGAAATTCCAGTATGGCCTCACTTCAACAAGACAATGGTTCATCGAGCAAGCGATGAAGATGCCGTCCACAAGCTCCGTAACTTGAACCGCCATTAATGGGATATGAGTTGCTTCGAAGTTTTTCGATTTGCCAAGTGGGAAGAAGGACTCGACGATCGGAGGAACATAAGTTGGTTCGAGGATGTCGGCCGTTGTAGTGTTCTCTGCAATTGCATGAACAAAGCTTGCTCCGGCGTTGTTGCAAGTGATGAAGACTGAAGAGATGCCATCATTGTCGGCGTCGGGGACAATAGCAAGACGGCCGGCGAGGGGCAAGAAGAAGTTGAGGGTGGCAGAAAGAGAGCCCTTAAGGTGCTGGATCACTTTGTCTGTGTGATACGAAGAAGAAGAAGAAGAAGAAGAAGAAGATGATGATGATATGGTGGGTTTGTGGAAAAGAAGGCCCTTTTGACCATACTCGAGAACTATGAAACGAAGATCCCATGGATTAAGCTCAATTCGTGCAGGTGAATCGCCATTCATATAAACATGGCTTCGTGCTTGGATTGTAGTATTGGAGATCACTCTGGTCGCTGCCATGGGAGGATTTGAGTGTTTTTCTGCAATTGCTAGCTGTCATTAATTAATAACGTACTGCAGAAGTAAACCATATTCTCTTTTATTCTGATCTACTCTTAAACGATGATTTAATGTTACGTATCACCGGCCGTCACATGTTGATGTCCAATTTGATTTTGAAATTAGATTAAATTCGCTCAATAATTAATGAAACAAATTTATCTCGTGAAAATAAACATTTACTTTATAGGAGATAATTTGAAAAAAAATATATGATAAATGTTTCTCGAAATTTATAGCTTTGCTTATAATAAAAAGCATATGATAGTTTCTTTTATAATAAAAAGGTGGAAGGAGTATTTCAAACCAAACATAATTGCTACAAAATACCCTATATTATAGTAGGAGTGAATATATGATTATATCATAGAGTACATAATTTGAAATCAATGAATAAATTAACCAGTCATCTTACTTATGCCACATGGTGTGTCACATTCAAATATATTACTTTATGGTGCCAAATACCAACTATTAACGTGTCCCTTGATAATTGAAGTACATTTTATAATTAACTTTTAAATAATATAGGTTTTATTATTTATAATTTTAAGTAATAAAACTTGTTTTAAATTTTATACTCACTAATACAAAATGGTCTTCCATTGTTTTAAGCCCGGTCTCAACTTGCCTGGCCAAGATAAAAAAAATGTCCAATAAATAATGGATCATAAAAAAGTCCACAGCTGAAGAAGATTGTCTAAGTTCTGTTTTTTAGGCCGGTCAACGTTTCTCTAGTAATATTTTAAGAACTTATTGAAAAGATTCTAAGGAATATTCTTAATGCATGGCCGGGCTATATGAACTCATAATTCGTGTGATCCTTCAACTTTATTTGGATTTCTGGTGGAAAAAAAAAAACCTTTATTTGGATTTGGACGTTTTGGGTTAGAAAGTGGACAAAGAAGAGACAATGAAATGGAGTAATAAATTGGACTAAGCCCAAAAGCTCTTGTTTTATATGTGTATAACTTTATACTCTTATTGAATAAACCGTGCCTAATTCTAATTTATTTTGATTTTTTTAGCCCAGTTTCACTACAGGCATCGTTCTTATCATTATAAGAAAGAATGACAAAAAATAATGACAGTGCTACGGTTTTCATGTCATTATACGGATGCCGCAATCTTGATAAATCAAGTATAATTTTTTCAGCTAATGCATCAATGAGGTAAAGAGTGAAATTACTGAGGTTTTGGGAATTAAAAATGCTACTCAACAGGCCGTGTGAAGAAGTTATTGGACCTAAGGCAAACTTATTTTGAGAGGCCTAGGGTATTCAAAATTTTTATTAGTGAAGTCCAGCAACTAAATATGACTAGTTTTCTTTAAAAAATTAATACAACGGAATAACAAATTACAAGTTCTGATTTTTCATCTTTTATTTTCTAGAAGGGTAAAAAAGTCCTTTCACATTAAAGCTAATTGACATAAAAGTTTATAGGAACTGAAAAATAATTATCACATTTGGCAGTACCTAATTATCATTTGCATATTTGATGACTCCCTATTTTGTATTATATTTGACATGTTTTTGGTTATATTTTGGGAGTTATTAATGAAAAAGAGAAGCATTTTCTTACTTTTATAAAGAGAAATTAAGTAAGTGCCTCATATGAATTTATTATAATAATTTTAAGAAAATTGTTTAAAATGATGGAAATTGAAATAAGCAAATATTTCACTCATATTTATTAATTGTTGATAGGTGGACCATAAAAAAATTAAACTAAGAAAGAGAAAGGAGATAAAGAAAAAGGTAGTTTTGATCCTGAGACACAAAAGCAAAATTTTTTATGTACTGTCAGAATTTTTTTTAGAATTGCTCATTAGTGCCATGGCACCAGATGAAATTACAGAAAAGGCACAATTTCATTTTCTGTGCAAAATTACCCTACATAACTTGTTTTTCTAAACTGGAGAACAAATCTTTCAGTTGTTGCTTATCATTATAAGAAAGAATGACAAAAAATAATGACAGTGCTACGGTATTCAAAATTTTTATTTGAAATTTTTAGCACTCTAAATGCTATAAAAATTTTAAAAGGTTCATAATTTCAGATAAAAAGTAATGTAAACAGTAAAAGTGGAATAAATACACCTGAAGTGGCTGCTACCTTAAATTTATGATTAGTGGTTTCGGTGTTAATTTCAATTAGATCGGAAGCAAAAAATGCTAATAAGTAGAAATTATTTGGCAAATGAGTAACAATGAAACAAGTTTGAGCAGCAAGGTAATATTTGCTTTTAAAAAAGAAAATAATGATAGCAGCAATTTGACTAAGAGGAGGAAGAAATGAGAATTGTAAGATGCTAACAAAGTGGTCCCTATCCATTCTATACATTGTGGCAGTATGTTAATGTTACCTCTCTGAACGGCTAATTGATATTAGGAAATGAAAATGATTGGTACAGTAAAATGCAAGATAATGAATTTTTAATGGAAAGATATAATTAACAATAATACTTAACAGTAAAAATAATGACCGGAGTTATATATATAGAGTATAAGTAAAAATAATGACCGGGCAATAAATTTTTTAATCTGCCTAATAAATTTTTTGGTGGGGTCAAAATGCTCATGATGGCAACAAACTACATTGGAAGAGTTGGGAAGGAGGTTTGGGTTCTAGAAACTTCCAATGCTTTAATATGGCTTTGCTTGCTAAAACAGTCTAGAGGATAATTTAGAGACCTGAGGAGCTTCGGTGCCGGGTCCTTAAGGGGAGATATTTCCCTAATTGTTCTATTTTGGAGGCAATAAAGGGGAGCAAAACTTCTCTTTTATATTTACCAAAAAAAAAAAATTTCTCTATCATTTTCCTTGGTCAACGATTCTCTAGTGTTGAGTAGAAGGACGGTAGTGGCCGGAGAGCTTTTCTCTCTTATTTGGAGAGCTTTTGTTTCTCTTTCTTTTAACCTAGCCGAAAGATTTCCAGGGACCTAAAGATCTAAGCCAGGAAGCTGAGACGAGTTGCTATGGTAGCTAAATAATCATTGGTTAAGACCTAAGGAAGTTGTTCTGGTTGTTTCACATGGTGGAGTAGTTAAGAAGGCCAAAAATGTGTTGGTGAAAAGATTTTCCTTGAAGTGTGTGTGAAAACAATGGCTTGGAAGAGGAAAAGATTTTAAATGGCGCTCAGATATTCTTGGAGATATTAATTTCACGGCTGCTGATGACTGTGGGGATACCTTGGCAATGAAAAAGAAAAAAAAAAATCAAACTCTATTCTTTTGGCACATGTTCTGGCCCTTCACTGGAAGCATTGTTTGGGGTAAGCGACTGGTATGGAACTTTTGAAGGTCCAGCATTAAGAAAGGCTTTTTATCGTTTTACAATTTGGAGTTCTTTTGGTTCCGAGCTTTCCTAGTTTTGTAGTCTAACTAGAAAACCAAATTTGGGATTTCTAGCTAATCTTAACCCTCTCCTTCAATTATACGATCGTGAAGCACACCATAAATTTCCACCAGTCAGCATGTTTATTAATTTTCTTCCTGTAGTGCTATATGCCTGCTGGTCGTTCCTTGGGTCATCTTCTTCGGTGGGTCTGTAGATTTTTTGAATGCCTTCTTCAACATTTCATCGTTCTCATGTGTCAACCAGAGAATCTCTTTTCCTACGGGAACCCTTTCCTTGCTTCATACTCTTTTAGCTCTTCAATGGGCTTTGATTGATTGGAGTTTTTGAAGCATTTGTCTAGTGGCTCTCTTGGGTGTTTGTTCTTTCGTGGATCTATTTGTCAAAAAAAAAAAAACTAATAAGCCACAATAAAATAGTTTCAAATAATAGAATAAAATAAGAGCACAACATAAATGAAGTGAAAAGTAGAATTGATATTATTAGAATAGCATTTTTGTATTAACTTTAAAATAAAATAATTTGGGATGGCCATGATATTTTTATGTAGATTTTTTGTAATTATAATTATGATACAGTTAAGATGAATTAAGTTTAAAGAAGTCTTGGAAATAAATTTAAAAATGATGACAAAATCTAATCTAACAGAAAAAAAGCCGTGAAGAGACTCGAATATTCATAATAGGATGAAATAATACACACCCCACAAATACATGATCGGACGTCACTTGATCATTCTTGAAGTTTTTTTTTTTTTTTTCTATAGCAAGACCTAGACAACCACTAAATTGATTTGTTACCCATATCACCTAATGATAACCCTAGTGGACACCCGTTTATTAATGTGACTACCAAGAATATGAATATAGGCTTGATAAATTAAATATTATATTATTTACAATGTTTATTAATAAGAATAAACATGCATGCTTGTACTTAAAATAATATGAAATAAAGAGAGTTAATAAACCTAATGGGTGAGTTCAAATTTATACAAAGTGAGCATTAAATAATTTAGAAGTAGAAGATAAGAGTTGAAATGTGTGTGTTTGACAATGTTAATGAGGGTTAAATTGATAAATTATAAATTAAGCTCTTGGACACCAATTTAGTTTGGAAATTCAAGCTTGAAAGCTATAATATTAAGAGGTAAATTTTTAACTTTTTAAAAGTTTGGGACAACTAAGGGAACTCTATTTTGAGTAGTTATATGTTAATTATAGTATAATGTGAATCTTGTGTTTAACATGCGAATTATGACTTGTGAATGAGTGTATCATGCAATAAAATCTTGTATTTATATAATTATTTTAATATGCATTAAAACATGCAAAAGTGATGTTCAAAATGAATTGCATGTTTATAATGTGCTTATGTGATATAAATGGAAATGAGACATGATGTTCATTGGTAGCGCACAATCGTGAGTCCAACGTGTGATTGTGATAATCAATAAATGAGAATGTAAAAATGAGTGAGTATCATATATGACATGATCAGTGAGCAGGAGTTTGCCTAGAGATTGAGAGTAGAGAAAATTCATATAATATTTAAGCTGACTTCTAGAATACAAGAGTATAGCCTTATCCTACACTTTGTTAAGAGACTGTCTCATAGTTTATTGAGA